CTTGACTGTCATCTTTATGGAAGCAGATTGCCAAGGAGCTTCTGGGTGGGTTCAAACCGCTGACCTTTTAACCATTTGATCCACCAGAACTCTATCTTGTTTTATTTGGTTCCTTTTTTAATTCTTTGACCTGATCTTTGGGTTACATAGTTTTAATTTCATCAGGTTGTATGCACTTCAGAAGTCATTTTTATTCCTTTTTGGAATGTGGTAGAAATTTAATAAAATTCTATCAAGAATAAAAGGCAGTAAGGGGGGAAAGGACAATACATTGGGCTCAACATTTCTGGTCTATTAGTGTCCTGGCCAGGCATTCAACGTTCCCAGCTTCAGGACCTCCTTTGACCTTGCAAGGAGAGCCAATTATCCAGATCTTTCTGTGGCGCTCATCACTGTGAGGAAGTGTGCTCTCCATCATTTCCATAACAATGCGCTGCAGTATTATGAGACCCTCATTATAATTCCAGAACAAGAGGACACACAGAAGGGACAATGGTAAAAAGCTGTGGAGTCGTGCTCAGAACTACAGAGAAATAAATGGAAGGCCATTCTCTGTTCTCTGGAAATAACACCCAGTCTCCTTGGACCTGGAGAGGCCGTGGTCCAGGGCAGAACAACCTTCTGCAGCCAGAAGGAACCACGACCTGAATGTTTGCTTGGATTTTACACTCTCTTTGCATTTTGGTTTTCTTATTTAGAATTCATTTCAATCTACAAGTCTCCCATTACCCCAAAAATTCATGTTGTTCCTTCAAAGAGTTCTGATGGAATACTGAATGAGATATACCCTTTGACAGTTTAGCTGTGAGTCGAGCGAGCGGAACCCACTGCTTATTAACGTGATGTTTCAATAGCTCAGCAACTGCTAGAATACAGATGGAGCATCTGCAGGGGGCATATTTTATCGGATTCCTGAGGCTGCTTTTCGGACATCTAAGTCCTTCTTTCCAATCTCAAATATGTCAAAAGAGGCATCCAGTGACTTATCTAGTTTCCAGTGACAGAAACACCATGAAAGGTGGTTATTGTCAAGTGGACTCCGATTCACAGCGATCCCAGGTACAAAAGGAAACACTGCCCAGCGCTACACCATCCTCAAAATTGTTGTTGTTGGAACCCTTAGTTGCAGCCACTTTGTTGTATCAATGAAAACTTGTTGTTGTTAAGTACCATAGAGTCGGTTCTGACTCACAGTGACCCTACACAGGGTTTCCGAGGCTGTGAATCTTTACGGGAGCAGACCGCCTCATCTATCTCCCACGGAACCGCTGGTAGGTTCAAACTTCCAACCTTGAGGTTAGCAGCCCAATTCGTAACCACCACGCTACCAGAGCTCCTTAGGGCAAAAACCAAAGTTGTGGCCCATGTTAGTATGAAGTTCAAGACGCTTGTCTTCTGGTAAGTCTGGAGCCAGCATCTCCTGTCGTACCTCTCTCTGTAGAACTCTCAGCCTTTCTCTCTCTCTTCTCATCCTTCTCCCTCTCTCTCTGCTTCTCTCTATATCAATGACTTCACTCAACAGATCCATTGTTTCCACCTTTTGAATCATGAGTTCATTGGCAAGCTGATAGTCACAATGTCTCACCCAATAAGGCTATTGGAAGAGGGTCGTTCTTTCTGTCCACAGACCTATCCTAGGGCCACGCTGAGTTCTCCTGCTTGGTTCACATGGCTGTTCTTCTGTGTCACCAGAGATAAGGTATGCATTTACTAGTCTCCTGGCCATTTACCAGGGTAAATCAACAGATAATGTTACTCAGGTTCCAGTTCATACGTACACGGGTTTATTCCAAACAAAACATCTTTAAGTATGTCTCTGTGGTCTGTGGACGGCTCCAGACATGTTCTCTCAGTCATACACTTATCTTTATCTTCTTAGTGTTCCTCCAAACAAAAGATTCAATCAAAACTGTGAGTTCCCAAGGAGATCTGCTGGGTCAGTTCAGGTCAAGGTAGAGAAGTCAGCTCAGAATGTTATGATACTGTTTCTTTGGGATCCCAAAAGGAGCATCTTGATGGAGCTTTCTCGAAGGACACAGAATGGCCACAAAGACTTATTAGGTAGACGTTTTTAAAGTATTGAAAACTGCATTGATGAGAAAAAGGCCAGAAAATTTGTGCTGAGAAATTATTGTTTTTTTTAACATCACAACAATGCTCATTCTTCAAAATTAGCAAGGGCTGTAATGTGAGCATTTCTTTGGGAAACCTTACGCTCTCCTTCTTACAGCCCTGAGCTCGTCCCTTCAGACTTCACTTTGTTTCCCAAACTCAAAGACCACTGGAAAAGGACATGATTTGGAGGCCCTCCAGGATGCCCAAACAGCCCTTTTGAAGTGGTGTTGTAACTGGAAGAGTAAAGAATTCTTCAGGGTAAGAATCAGAGAGATGAAAATACCACCTTCAGAAGTAAATAGACCTGGAAGGAGACTAAGTCAAGAAACAATAGCTTCACATCTGTATAATTTTGTTTAATAAAGGTAGCTACGATATTTTAGCAATATTTCTTTTACCTTTGTATTTCACTATTCCAGTATCATAGTCCATGATTCTATAAGGAACATGACAACATTCTATGATCTTGTGATGCTGTTCTATAATTGTTTTTTTTGTTTGTTTGTTTTCTTTCAGTATTATTATTATTTTTTTGTTTTGTTTTTATTGTAAATTGTGTGATACTTTACATGGGAGAATATCAGTTTTACATTCATCCTATGGTATTTCATTTCATTGCAATGATTACAATCTCCTCTATGCATCATCATTCAACAATATTTGTTTCCATTCCCTGTTTTTTGTTTTGTTTTGTTTTTAGGGGGTTTTTTGAATATCCACAAAAACACTCAGGAATATATAATCATTTAAACAACCAAAGAACACATTCTCCAAGCCTGCCTCCTGGCCACCAGCACACAGCCTTTCTCTTTCCATGAATCTAGAGTCCTCAGCTGCTCTATCTCTACATGTCCACATCTCTGCCTCCCTCTCTGGTGTCACTGCTTCTCTGGATAGGGTCCTACATTCTGCTCATGCTCTTCTCCCTTGATGGTCCTAGGGTCCTCTGTTCCTGGACTGTAAGATTAACTACTCCCCCCTTTATGTTACAAAATTTGTACCTTTACATTGTGGCAATTGCAATTAGTTAAGAAAACAATTACTCACTGTTGAATCATAAGAATCTTATTCCCATCTCCTTTCACCAGACCAATCTAGACAAGATGATAACTATTCACTGGGGATTCTACCCTCCCCTACTAAACTCCCTCTTGAAAACTTGTAAGCCAGCCACTTCATGCCTCTTTAGCCCCGCCCCCATTTTAGGTAACCAGTGTTGTAATTATTTAACAACAGTGTGAGATTCTGTATGTTGGCTTCTCAGTTTTAATCCTTAGGAGACCTAAATGTATTTTAAAAAATGAATTCAGGACTATGTCAGTTTTCTCTTGTTAAAAGAAAACAAAGCAGGGAACAAGTGTAAATTGCTACAATTTGATGAACTTGACCAATACTTATGGATGTAGTAGCTCAAAATACCATCTGAGAGGGAAGGAGTCTTCACATCCAAGATCAATCCTATCCCATCTATATACAGGGTAGATTGTGACGGGCAACTTAGACATTGACTACCTAAAATGGGAGGGGCTATAAATGCATGAAGTGACTGGCTTACAAGTTTTCAAGAAGGAGGTTAGTTTCAGAATCCTCACTGAATAGTTTTCATCTTATCTAGACAGGTCTGGTGAAAAGAGATGGGGATAAGATATTTTATGATTCAATAGTAAGTAATTGTTATCATGACTAATTGCAGTTGTCACAATTGTAAAGGTAGAAGTTTTATAACAAAAAGAGGGGAATAGTTAATCTTACAGTCCAGGAACAGAGAATCCTAGGACCACCAAGGGAGAAGAGCATGAGCGGAATGTGGGATCCTATCCAGAGAAGCAGTGACACCAGAGATGGAGGCAGAGATGAGGACATGGAGAGAGGGAGCAGCTGAGGACTCTAGATTCATGGAAAGAGAAAGGCTGTGTGTTGGCAGCCAGGTGCTGGTGGCCAGGAGGCAGGCTGGGAGAATGTGTCCTTAGGTTGTTTAAATGATTCCTGAATGTTTGGGTGTACAACCCCCTCCCCGAAAAAAAAAAAAACAAAAAAAAAAACAGAGGGAATAGAAGCAATTACAACAGTGTTTGATGAAACAGATGATGATGCACAGAGGAGATTGTAATCATTGCAATGAAATGATGACTGTAAAACTGATGTTCCCCCATGTAAACTATCATTCAATTCACAATAAAAACTTAAGAAAAAAGAAACAAAACAACTTTTGTTTGTTTGAAAAAAGTGGTTGAAAAAATCAACTGTTATATTATGACCTCTCCTGATTCTGTGGGCTGACTGGGCTCAGCTGAGTAGTTCTTCTGTTCCACCTGATGTTGGTGGGGTCTGCAGTGGGACATCCAACTGTCCTAGGAGGTCACCCATGTGACAACCTGCTGGTGTTGGCTGTCACTGGAAGCTCTATCAGGACTATTGCCCAAAGCACCTGGGTTTTTCTTTCTAGGACCCTTCATGTGTCTTGACCTACAACTGGATTCTGAGAGGCAGGAAGTAGAAACTGCTTGTTCTCTGAAGACCCAGGATTGAAAGTCACTGTGTTCAAAAGTTGTAGACAGGAGCTCCTTGTGGGGGAGAAGTGATGTGTTTTTACTGGGACTGTATGGTTAGGGAAGAGGATACATCTCTCAGTACTAATTACTACAAACCCAGGTGCCTAAATAAAGAACCTGCTGAAGCAATTGATGTAACATGGTGGGTGGAGTTCAAAAGTGGTTGACCTGCCATTCGTCTGCCAATGCCTGGGAATGGATGCTCAGATGGATTTAGGCAACATCAGTGCCTGTCTCTGAGCCTGACCTTGTCCTTCTGTAAAACAGAGACATGCATCTCGAAGATGCTGGAAATGCCTCTGTCCCTAACTCGCTGTTCCTCTGTGTCCCTAGGTACTCCTTCCAGGATGAGGAGGACATGTTCATGGTGGTAGACCTCCTACTGGGTGGAGACCTTCGTTACCACCTCCAGCAGAATGTTCACTTCACGGAGGGGGCTGTGAAGCTCTACATCTGTGAGCTGGCCCTGGCCTTGGAGTACCTGCAGCGATACCACATCATTCACAGGTAACCGCTCTGCTGAGTGGATGCCTCAGGCCAGTGGCATCCTGGGGCAAGGGTGGAGCAGGACCTTCCACAGCAGTGGGAAAAGCGTTTTCATCATTGACAGTCTAAAGAAATGGCAGTGCATGTGGATAACAAAGAGCATAACAACGTATCATTGCTTTGACGCTCCTTACACATAACTTTGCCCTGGTGGCACTGTGAGATAAGCACTGGACTGCTAACCACTAGGTCAGTAGTTCAAATCCACCAGCTGCTTCTCTGGAGAAAGATGATGTTTTCTGCTCCCATAATGATTTACTGCCTCAGAAACCTTATACGGGTTCACTATGAGTCAGAATTGACTCGAAGGCAGTGGGGACAGGTAGCTTAAGGGGCCCTGGGTGGCACTTTGGTTAAGCAGTCAGCTTCTAAATAAGTTAGCTATTTGAATGCTCAACAGAACAAAGATGTAGCAGCCTGCTTTTGTAAATAACAGCTTTGGAAACCCTATGGGACAGCCCTACTATGTCCTATGTTGTCACTGTGAATCAGAACCAGCTCAGTGGCACTCGATTTATGTTTTTGGACAGACAACTTACCCTCTGTGTCTGAGATAAGCACTCCTACCACTTGTCCCCTTGACACCCCACAATTTAGAGACATGACCGGGGGTTGTTATTTGCTTCTCCACTGTAGTGTCCCAGGAGACTGGGTCATGCTGTCCTTCCTAGACTACAAGGTTCCAGGCAATGGGCTCCTAAGGAGTCCTGAATGGGAGGGATCCTACTCTCTTCCTCTCTTACTTCAGAATGACTTCTGGGCAATTCAGGGAAGTACTTCTTCTTGGCATGGTTCAGTGCTGGCTCTGGGCTTTGGATGCAAGACCTACCACCTCCATTGCCTTCTCAAGAGTGTCCCTTCTCCACTTCCTGTGCAGAGCAGGGTTCTGTCTACAGCAGAGGAGCCAGCAAGAGATCATTATGAAAGCCTCTCACCAACCATGGTCTTACACATGCCTGGCTGGTCCTGTCCTGTACAATCTTAGAAGACTTGGAAGAGATGAGGGCGTCTAGGTCCTAGACTAGGAAAAGGTGATAGATGAACACCACATACAAGCATGCACATCTGCATTTGCTCCCATCTAAAACCCCTGTAGGATATAGCATTGGACCACAAGGTTGGTTTGAACTACAAGGTTGGCAGTTCAAACTCACCAGCCGCTCCTCACAAACCCTACACAGGGACGCTATGAGTTGGAACCAATTCGGCAGCACTTAACAACAAAACCCTGCTGTAGAATAAGCAATGGACTGCTAACTCCACAGCCACTCCTTGGAAACCCTATACAGAGTCACTATGAGTCTGAACTGATTCCACAGCATGTAACAATAACAACAAAACCCAGCTAACATGACAGTGAAGCCATGGTACATTTGTAAGATTAAGGAAAAGGAAAAAAGGACTCTAGCAAAACATTTGGTGATCTGAAAAGACCATGGGGAGGGGGTTGGCAAGTGACTTTGGAGATGAAAAATTGAATTGTAAGATTTTGGGGCGGGGGGTGGTGGCGGGGAGCACTGAACCAATCAGCACTAAAACAAACAAACAAACGAAACCTATTGTCGAGTTGATTTTAACACCTACAACCCTACAGAACAGAGTAGAAGTACTCCAGTGGGTCTCCAAAGTAATGGTCTTTACAAAAGCAAACCGTCACATCTTTCAGACCTTCGACCTGTTGATTAACAGTGTAGCATTGCATCATTGTACCACCAGGATTCCTGGTATGGCATTATAGGGTGAACGCTGGACCTCAAGGTCAGTTTGAACTGCAAATCTGGTGATTCAAACTCAACCAGCTGCTTGTTGGAAGCCCTATACGGGGTCGCCATGAGTTGGAACCAACTTGATGGCACTTAATAATAACAACAACAAAGAACCCCCAAATGACTCAGGAATTGGCAGCACGTGTCTGCTAACTAAAAGGCCAAAGGTTCAAACCCACCAGTCACTCCATGGGCAAAAATGAGGCTGGCTGAAGCAGAGAAATTGAGTCTCGGAAACCCCCTGTCAGGTTGCAGTGAGTCCGAATCAACTCGATGGCAGGAGGTTTTGGTACCCACGAAAGTGGGGGTAAAGAACTAGTGGAGGACATCAGTGTTCTGTGTATAGATACATGGACAGAGACACAGGCTGAATGGATATGGGAGGAAGAGTGGGATAGATATATATTTCCATATCCTATAAATACATGAGTCTGAAAGAGGGTATTTGTTCATGGGTAACTAATACATAGAAACCCTGGTAACATACTAGATTACAGAGTGGGCTGATATCCGAAAGGTCAGTAATTCAATCTATCAGAAAGATGAGGCTTTCAGATCCCATAAAGATTTACAGCCTCAGAAACCAAACACCAAGCAGGGAGGAAGCACAATAACTGTTGTTGCACAGAGGGAATTGCATCACTGAGATGAAATAAACTCTATGAAAACTGATGATCTTGTCTGTAAACCTTCACTCAATTCACAACAAAAAGTTTTTAAAAGAAAGAAAGCTGGCATGAAGAAGAGGTTAAAATTTAAATGTCTGGGCTGAAAGATGGTACACATACTTGAACAGGGAGACTGTACTGAAAGCAGCAAGATTAACTAAACATATGTATACTCGATGCTGAAATAACACATTCCCATCTCAACCCTGGAATCCTGGGGTAGTTCTGTAGGATAAACACCAGACTGCTAACAGCAAGGTCGATGGTTCAAACCCAACAGCTGCTCCTGGGAAACCCAATACAGGATTGCTATGTATCGAAACTGACACAATGGCACTTAACAACAATCTCAACCCTGCTCAGAGAATGATCTCAGACCTTCACCCTTCAGGGAAGAACCCAGAACGGTGTTGATGGGAACATGGTTGAGCGAAGAGGAAAGGAATTTTGGCATGAGAGGTTTTTCACTTCACCTCTGAGTATCACTCATGGCCAACAAGTATCTCTCATTTGTTACACACTTCCAAGTAGGTTGGTTGTTGTTGTTGTTGTTAAGTGCCGTCGAGTCGGTTCCGACCCATAGCGACCCTGTACAGGGTTTCCAAGGGTGTAAATCTTTACGGGAGTAGAAAGCCTCATCTTTCTCCCGCGGAGCGACTGGTAGTTTCGAACCGCCAACCTTAAGGTTCGCAGCCCGATTCGTAACCACTACGCTACCAGAGCGCTTTATTAAGTGGTGGTGGTGATGGTGACGGTGTGCCATTGAGTCTGTTCCAATTCATAGCGACCCTCTATAGGGTTTCCAAGGCTGTAAATCTTTATGGGAGTAGAAAGTCTCATCTTTCTCCCTTAGAGTGGTTGGTAGATTTGAACTGCTGACCTTGTGGTTAGCAGCCCAACTCATAACCTACTATGCTACCAGGGCTCCTTAAGCATTGTCAGACATCTAGAAAATTCTTCCAGCATGATTCATAGAATTAAATGGAAAATAAACAACATTTTAAAACTTGGGATAGGAGTGGAAGAGGACAGAGACTCTGTTTAGAAAAGAAAATATCAAAATAACTAAGATTGGAATTCTCAGAGGGATAAGAAAAGATCTTTGAAAATCTAAAACAAGAAATAGCCTATTCTGTTAAAAAAAAAAAAAAAAAATTCAGGGAACAAACATCAGAACTCTTGTAAATTGAAAACATGTGAAAGCAGAAATGATGAACTAAAAAGTGTGTTAGAAGATAAAGTTGAGGACATCTCCCATAACATACAGCAAAAAGGTAAAAAGAAAAACTAAGAGAAAAGAAGACACAATAACAGGACCAGTCCACAAAGTTCAGCATCAGGAGAGAGAAAGCATGGGGTGGGGTGGGGACCATCAATGAGCTAATTAGCAGAATCAGCCAGACCTGCCGTGCATGAGCTCCTAGACCAAAGGGACCTACCAAGTGCCTGCACTGAGGTTCATCATTGCGAACTTTCAGCTCTGGAAAAACCACAGGTCATGCATGCTGAGGAATCAGAGCAGCTTGGGATTTCTCAACTGTGAGAAGACAGCAGAGACGTACTGATCAGTCATGCATGAGTATGTACATTTTCACACGTTCCAGGTTTCAAAAGATGTACCTCTCATACACCTTTCCTAAAATAGCTATTCAAATATGATATTGTTGTTGTTGTTAAGTGCCATATAGTTGGTTCTGACCCATAGTGACCCTGGGTTTCCAAGGATCGGCTGGTGAGTTTGAACCACTGACCTTGCAGTTTGTACCAACTTTGCAGTCCAGAGCATTAAACCACAGCACCACATCAAGACTCCAGAAGATGATATGGACTCCACAAAAATGAAGGGATACACCTAGAACAAAGGGGGAGTGGAACACAGAAAGCTGGGCTCCAGGATGGAAGAGAGGCACAGGAAGTACTCAGGATGATGGTGAGAGCAAGTCCCAGGATGCCAGTTGTGTGTCAGGTGTCCACCATGGCCAGTTCTGACAGGAGTGAGTCAGAAGACCCTCAGAGACTATCAGGACAAGTGAACTGATGAATAGCTTATGCATTCGCTTATCTTGAAAATAGATTTATTTAATCTGTGTCTTACTTGTCTAGGACTGTTGTAACAGAAATGCCACAATGAGTAGGTTTCAACTATGTTTTTTCTCATAGTTCAGGAGACTGGAAGTCCTAATTCTAGGGTGAGGTCCTTTCTTGTCTATTGTAGCTTCTAATACATCAACAATCCTTGGCATTCCTGGCTTGTAAACATACCTGTCTCTCTCATCTGTCTTCTTCTTCTTCCCTATATGTGTGTCTTTGTGTCTATTCTGGGTTATTTTGGCAACTCAGAGGTGATTGGATTTAGGATTTATCCTATACTGACTTGAAAGACTTATTGATGAAGATCAGAGACCACAGTCTTCATACAGTCTGAGTTATAGCTCAATGTAAAGAAAATTAAAATCCGCACAACCGGACCACTAAATAACATCATGATAAATGGGGGGAAAAATCAAAGTAGTCAAAGACTTCATTT